GGGAACATGCTAAAGGTGTGCTTCATTGTTTCATCCTGGTAAAAAATTCCCATCAAGTTGTCATCAGTGTCTGTGAATACTTCCACAGTAACAGTAGGATCTTTTCGAAGCTCTGACACAACTCTCTGTAAATCATTTGTATTGGTGCCCTTCTTATGCTTTAACTTGGTTGCAATATTAGTCAAGTCCCAAAAAGTAATGCTTTTACCTATAGGCAATTAGTTCGTAAATTAAACTTCAAACAAATATTCAAACAAATACCTGTAGTAGAAATAACTTAAGTTTCTTGTTTGATTTCAAATTTAATGCTTTTTAATGTCAGCTTTTGTCTATAAATAAATTATCAATAACTGATTTAAATAACTAGTGCAAACTCACATTTTCATCCAGCCTTTGTTGGTGAGGAAGGTTCAGAAATACTTTAGAACTTAACTGATGATTGTGGTCCAGCATTACTTCTTTAATTTCTAAATGAAGTTTGTCTTCTGAAAGCCTGATTTTAACGTATGCCTGACATTCTTGTTTGCATGTCCTATAAGAAAGTTATTACAAAATTTTACAGGGTAGAAACATGAAAGAACAATTAAGTATACTGAGATGAAGGACAAAGAGGAAGGAAGAGAGAAAATAGGTCCATGCAGAACTCAAACGACAGAGTGATTAAATTCCAGGATTAATACTGACTGAATAACTTAAATTTTTCTTACATTTTCTGTGGTCTACTTCCATCTTTTGGCCTTGATTTAAAAGTGTGACCACCCATGAATACAGGACAAATGTATGAAAGCATACTTAAGAGACTGGAACTTTGTTGACTAGCTTAGGACTGAACTTTTGAGCCTGATTCAAAGTTCTGCTGTCTCTAACATAAAACTGGCAAAAATTTTTCCTCTGTAAATTATCAATAGCTTCTCGTACTTCATTCCAGCTGGAAAACTTCAGTCCTACACTTACATCATCAGAACTGGACTCGTTAAGTCTAGCTGCTTCTTGACAGCTCACGGCAGGTGCAGTAGGAATTACACTCCTATCATCATGATTTGAAAGAGCTTCTGGAGGGACTAACACATCTAGACTAATCACATTATCCAGAAGAGAGGCAGTGGCCATCTGGTACAGTGTTTCCCACGCTAACAGATAGATGAACAGTTTGAACACAGTGCAAGTGGCCATTTAATGGTACACGTGTTAGATAGGCGTGGCCCGATTTTAATGATATTCATATGCATACAGTTCAATAGTAACATAATTAGTGCACCAACTGTCGGATCACTAAACAGTGCCTTGTAAAAATCCTTGGGAAAATGTGAGTCTTTAGGGCAAAATGCGAGTCCCTGGAGTAAAATGCGAGTCCATGGACACAAAAACTCATGCTAGCTCAAACACTGATGATTATACATATATATCTTAGCTATTAACATGATCGACTAACCTTGTAATGGAACCAGGTAGAGTAAATGATCAATTAACGGATTTCATTAAATAACAGACACTCTATCTCTGCAGCTAGTAAATACTTCAACCATTTTTCAGAATAGATGGACCAAACCTTCTTCATGGCCTTTTAAAAGTCTGGTCCTGCAATTTGCCCACGTCGCAAAATCCTAAAAAGCTCGAAAGACTGTCCGATATTTTTCATTTAACGGACGCAAACCATACATAACAGTATATAATTTTCATCTTTTTTATTTGTAACTATTGTGCACTGCTATGTTGCATATATTTCATCTATCATTGATTAAATAAAATGCTATGGTTTCAAATCAATACAACTGAGGCGAAAGAAAATATCTTCTCTTTTGATTGCATCAGATTACGGACAAAAATGGGGAGGAGCGTTAGATTATTACTATTATTGTTATTGTTATTATTGTCACGTTGTCACTTGCTTTTCAGCCACGTTTTATCCTGCCGTGAAAGATAGATGTGTCAAGGGAACTTCATCTCGAAGTCTGACTTGTACTCCAGTTCGACCTGCTGCTCGTATTGTAAGACATGGTCAGATGATAAAATGGACTTAGCACTAATGTCAATATTGGGTGGTGCCTGGGCACTGTTCAAAGAGCTGCTGTAGATTATGGCTTCAAAGAGTACTCTATATAACACAAGGTCCAAGCTGGAGCTAAATGTGTTGCACAAGCTTATTTAACTAAGTAAGAGGAGTTAGAGGAGTTCCTTATTCTCTGTTCAAGGATGGGTTTTGGGAAGACACGGAGTGACGTCATATTTCTTGTGGAGAATTTGCTTATAAGCCATAGAGGACATTGTCAAGTGTCAAATGGATTGGTAGGCTTCTGCCAGAGACATCCTAGGATCAGGCTATGAAATCCTGCCTGCATTTCAAAAGCAAGAGCAGTTGCCACAGATCCTAATATTTTGGAGCAATATTTCAACATTTTAGAAGGCATTTTAAAGGATGATTTTTTTGATAAACCATACCAAATCTATAATGTAGATGAAACAGGTGTGCCATTAAATCCCAAACCAATGAAAATTGCTTCAAAAAGGGGTTAAAAATCCAAGTGTTGTTACAAGCGGAAAGAAAGAGCAAGTGACTGTAGTAGGATGTGTGAATGCTGGAGGAGTGATGATCCCACCCATGATTATTTGGAATACTAAAAGTTTGAGGGCTGAGCAGACATATAATGAAGTTCCAGGAACATTTTATGGACTCTCCGAAAGGGTGGATGGATCAGGAGCTCTTTTTTCTTTGGTTTATGAAACACTTTCTGCAATATGCAGTTACAGCAAGACCACTTATTTCGTTGTTAGATGGTCACTCTTATTATTTTCCAAAAACCATCCACTTAGCAAGAGAGCATGATGTGATACTGTTTACTTTCCCTCCAAATACCACACATTTGACACAACAACTTGATAAAGGAATATTTGGCCCTCTCAAAATCCAGTGGCAGGAAGAATGTCATAAGTATCAACAGGAAAACCCAGACCAGATCATAAATAGATTTTCATTTGATGGTATCTTCTCAAAAGCTTGGATGAAGTCCATGACAACTTTAAATATATAGTTCATGCGTTTGAAACTGTGGGAGTTTATCTATTCTATTGAAAAGCAATTGGTCTTCCAATTGTGCATACAAGACCAACAGAGGAGTTTACTGGTGCTATAGTCCACTTCATATCTCTTCCTCTTCTGTTTCTGAGAGACCACACCGTAGTTCTCCTGTGCCTCTGGATCATTATTCTCCACCATTTTCTTCGTCTCCTTCACCAGAGAATCTTGTTCAAAAATCTGTACAGATTTCAGAAGAAGAAAAGAAAGTTCAAACTGATGAATGTTTTTATAATTTATGGTTAGAATTTAATGGTAAGATTTCTTCCAATAGTCCTTCAGATCACTCTGATGATGAAACTCAGGGATACAAAAGTGCATCATACAGAAGCTCATTTAGTAGATTTCAATAACTCCCTTCTCTACCAAGTTTACCTGCCCATCTTCAAATGGAATCGGACACAGTAATTACAAGTGATGAATGTGCACGACATATGGAACAGGAGAAGGAGAAACGGAAGAAGTTAGAGTTGAAACAGGCACGTGAGGAGGAAAGGAAATGGAGACAATTGGAAAAGCAACAAGCCAGGAATGGTTAATTATAATATGAAGTTTATTACTTGTAATATTTTTTGTAGAAAGAGCAAACAAAACAAGAACAATCAAAAAGACTGGACCAGCTGCAAGTATGTGTAGATCAAGCAGTGGGTAAGTGTAATTATTGTTACTAGGAGGAGCAACTGATGGTGACTAGACTAGAGCTGTAGAAAGAGGAACAGCTACACACAACAGTGAGTTCATTTATGCTGGCAGTGAGTAAGTGTATCTAGTGCTACTAGGAGAAGCCATTGATGGTGAGACTAGAGCTGTAGGAACAGGAACAGCTACACGTAATAGTAGGTTTTTTATGCTAGCAGTAAGTGTACCTATTGCTACTAGGAGAAGCAACTGATGGTGAGACTAGAGCTGTAGAAAGAGGAACAGCTACATGCAATAATGAGTTCTTTTATGCTAGCAGTAAGTGTACCTATTGCTACTAGGAGAAGCAAATGATAGTGAGACTGAGCTGTAGGAAGAGGAACAGCTACATGCAATAATGAGTTCTTTTATGCTAGTAGTAAGTGTACCTATTGCTACTAGGAGAAGCAACTGATGGTGAGACTAGAGATGTAGGAAGAACAGCTACAAGCAATAGTGAGTTCTTTTATGCTAGCAGTGAGTAAGTGTATCTATTGTTACTGTAGGAAGAGCAACTGATGGTGAAACTAGAGCTGTAGGAAAAGGAACAGCTACACGTAATAGTGAGTTCTTTTATGCTAGCAGTAAGTGTACCTATTGCTACTAGGAGAAGTAACTGATGGTGAGACTAGAGCTGTAGAAAGAGGAACAGCTACATGCAATAGTGAGTTCTTTTATGCTAGCAGTAAGTGTACCTATTGCTACTAGGAGAAGCAAATGATGGTGAGACTGAGCTGTAGAAAGAGGAACAGCTACAGATAACAGTGAGTTCTTTTATGCTAGCCATAAGTGTACCTATTGCTACTAGAAGCAAATGATAGTGAGACTGAGCTGTAGGAAGAGGAACAGCTACAGGTAACGGTGAGTTCTTTTATGCTAGTAGTAAGTGTACCTATTGCTACTAGGAGAAGCAACTGATGGTGAGACTAGAGATGTAGGAACAACAGCTACACACAATAGTGAGTTTTTTTATGCTAGCAGTGAGTAAGTGTATCTATTGTTACTATAGGAGGAGCAACTGATGGTGAAACTAGAGCTGTAGGAAAAGGAACAGCTACACGTAATAATGAGTTCTTTCATGCTAGCAGTAAGTGTACCTATTGTTACTATAGGAGGAGCAACTGATAGTGAAACTAGAGCTGTTGGAAAAGGACAGCTACAAGTAATAGTGAGTTCTTTTATGCTAGCAGTAAGTGTACCTATTGCTACTAGGAGAAGCAACTGATTGTGAGACTAGAGGTGCAGGAAGAGAAACAGCTACATGCAATAGTGACTTCTTTTATGCTAGCAGTAAGTGTATCTATTGCAACTCTGAGAAGCAACTGATGGTGAGACTAGAGCTGTAGGAAGAGGAACAGCTACACGTAATAGCGAGTTTTTAATGCTAGCAGTGAGTAAGTGTATCTATTGCTACTAGGAGAAGCAACTGATGGTGAGACTAGAGGTGTAGGAAGAGGAACAGCTACACGTCATAGTGAGTTATTTTATGCTAGCAGTGAATAAGTGTATCTATTGTTACTATAGGAGGAGCAACTGATAATGAAACTAGAGCTGTAGGAAAAGGAACAGCTACACGTAACAGTGAGTTCTTTTATGCTAGCAGTAAGTGTACCTATTGCTACTAGGAGAAGCAACTGATGGTGAGACTAGAGCTGTAGGAAGAGGAACAGCTACACGTAATAGCGAGTTTTTAATGCTAGCAGTGAGTAAGTGTATCTACTGCTACTAGGAGAAGCAACTGATGGTGAGACTAGAGCTGTAGGAAGAGGAACAGCTACACGTAATAGCGAGTTTTTAATGCTAGCAGTGAGTAAGTGCATCTATTGCTACTAGGAGAAGCAACTGATGGTGAGATTAGAAGTGTCTGAAGAAGAACAGCTATTACACGTAATAGTGAGTTCTTTTATACCAGCAGTGAGTAAGTGTATCTATTGTTACTAGAAGAAGCAACTGATGGTGAGACTAGAGGTGTAGGGAAGAGGAACAGCTACACGTAATAGTGAGTTCTTTTATGCTAGCAGTAAGTGTATGTATTGTTACTAGGAGAAGCAACTGATGGTGAGACTAGACCTATAGGAAGAGGAACAGCTACACGTAATAGTGAGTTCTTGTTATGCTAGTTATACTTCTTTTTAATAGGTGTAGAAGGAGCATCAATCGATGAAACAGAGTGGTAAAAAAGGTAATTTTAATTTTATGCATAAAATAGTTCTAATATATGTATCTAGTTTTTTGCTATTGTCGTGGTCCTGAAAGTGAAGATACCATATAGCTTGATATTTTCATGGGTCAATATTTTCGTGGTTTGCTCCTAGTGGGGCAATTCGTGGTTTAATTTTCGTGGTTGACAGTTTACATAGCCTCTAAGGGGATGGCATTCAATGATTTTGTGGGTTTAAATTTCGTGGGCAGCCCATAACCACGGAAATCATGAAATTTACAATCCATGAAAATTTCAAGCTTTACGGTTTGGTAAGGTGTGACAATGACGACTGCCTGTATTGTGGTTTCATATTAATTGTCTTGGTTTGGCATGGTTTCCAAAAAGCAAAGCATGGTTTTGTCCAGACTGAATAAAATTGCATTTTGATCATTTCTTCATTGTAAATAACAATTGAATATAAATAATTGATAGTGTTGAAGTAAAAATAGTTTGATGGAGTCATAATAGCAGTGCACAACAGCTACAAATAAAAAAAGATAAAAATTATGTATGGTTTGTGTCTGTTATATAAAAAATACCGGACAGTCTTTGAGCTTTAGGACTTCGCGACGCGGGCAACTTGCAGGACCAGACTTTTAAAAGGCCTTGATGAAGGTTTGGTCCATCTTTTCTGCAAATTCGGTGCAGAAATGTTTAGTAGTTGCAGAGAAAGAGCGTTCGTTAATTTATGAAATTCGTTAATTGATCGTTTACTCTACTTGATATGGAATATGGCAGATGCAGCAGACAAATTTGAATCAAAGCAAGGGAGACAATTCTATGATAATAAAGAGTAGATCAGAGCGCAACAACTTCAAATAATAGTTATGATTTAAGTAGTGATGTTATGTGAAGTGGCACAATAACAATGAGAATAGTATTCTCAATTTGTGTCATAAGCAAAAAAGTAGAGCCTGTGATCTTGCTTGGAGCCGATGATCGTAAAGCTTGGAGCCAGTGATCGTAAAGCTTGGAGCCGAAGATCCCATGGATCTCGAGCTAATTTCTAATAATATGATCACACCAACACCAATAACTGTGGTGAGTGGTTTTAACTAAAATTAAGAGAAGCAAGAAAACTTCAACAGGGTGCTTTGGAAGGCTGCAGTAAAAGTTTTTAATAATCTTCATTGCAATATTATTAATGAGATTCAGCTAGTGAATAATACGCTTGTTTATTCTTCTATACATGCACGACATGTAGATCCTGATCCTTTATATTAAAAACTGTGTCACTGCAGTCGCCATTTCCCCTCCCTTGTTCTAAGTATAATATTGACAAAACAATATTCTTTTACTATAATTATAATAATAACATTATATATCATAAAAAATAACCAAGCGGAGACAGTTTGATCAGATTTGACTCGTGTTTCCTCCCATATGTCGGGCTGTTTGACCAGACTTGACTGGTGTTTCTCCCCTACATGTGTGGACATTTCAACAAATTTAAAAGCCAAGTGTTCAAATCCCCACCCTTGCCTGGATGGGAGAAGTGGGGCATTACTTCAATAGGTGCAATATGCTTTAACTTTAATGCAACAATAAAAGTACTGGATGAATAAGTAGCACTACTATTCTGCGAAAAATAATTTTCAAATTGTTACAAGTGCTTTATTTGTTGATTAAATTTTTGAAGTTTCACAGTAAATGTCTACTGTATTCATGTATTCACAAGATGAAAATATTCAATATCCGCATGCAACTTATAACTAAAAAATTATGCCAACAACACCTAAGGTCATAGGACAGGGCAAAACCCTATACTGCAAGTATAACAACATTAATTACAACAAAATGTTAACAGATGCCAAGGACTGAATAATCCAATCATCAATTTTTTTATCAATAAACATGTTCTGTAGGAACTCCTTTACAAAAGCTGAAAAGTAACCCTTAATGATGCTACCTCTAATATTCTTCATGAGTTTCAACTAAAAAAATCTTTATAATGGTACAAATTTTACAATGGTGCAACTTACATGTTGGTATAAATTATGTACAGTCAAAAGGCTACAAACTACAGAATCACCCTGAAGTAGTGCATGCAGTGAAGCTCTGGTATAATTACAACAAGTAATACATTTACAAGATTGCTCAATTGGTTGAAAATCATTTTCAAATTCTTTATCTTTTAAATTGATTTCACCGGTAGAAACAAGTGCTCTTCCAAATCTCTAAATAGCAGTATAGTTGTAATAGTTTTCAAATAACAAATTTTGTACCGCTGTTCTTGTTGGGTATACACAATCAAACATGTCAACACCGAGAGCACAGCACACAATGAGATCAACTGGATATCTAATAAAATAGAACTCATAAAAATGGTAGTGTATCAGCCCATTAACAATTATTGCAATCATCTTGTGAAGATGGTAATAGTATCACCTAACAATCAAACTTATCCCAAACTGCCTGTTCAGGTTTATTTTACACAATACACTGCACAACATAAAATTCTTTAGATGACGTTACCAGAATTTAGTGATATTAATGAAAATGAGACATACAAGTCAATTTGGATAAAAAACATCTTAAAAGAGAAACTAAATCCAGTTTGCATACATAGCTAAATTTTGATTATTGTCCACATGCACCCCTATAACATCCAGAGCATAACAATAATAAAAAACTACTACACCTACAAAGCCAACAGTATGCATAAAAACTTGTACACCTAAAGAGCAACAAGATTGAGCTACCAGTATTCAGTCATGATAAATTTTCTGGTAGTTTCACAAAACCATATGTAACATAAAAATACGATCTTATAACAGGCAGCCTCATGCCTGGACAAAAACTTTGGTAACAATTAATAAATATCAGGCATGAGCACTTAAAAAGAACAAGGAACAAGTGTATAAGCCTAATAAACATTCTTATAATTGTTTTCACCACCTTGCATGTACAGCTAGGTTCTTATTACAAATTAAAGAGCTTCTTTCTGCCTTCTATTGTTTCTAAAAAAAGTCCTAAGGCAGTACCTCTTCCTTCTCTTAGTGTTAAAAAGCTCATAACTTTTTCCAGTGTACAAACAATCATTTTGTTTACCATGGGCACATCCACTTACATGAAGTGCCATGAGCATGGGTAGGTTGTTGCTAAGGTTTGTTATTTCTCCAAATTTAATGTGTATAGAACAAATGTTAAAGTGACATACAAACAAACATCGCACATGAAACCCCAGTGTGTAATAAACTCCTTCATTCTTGACCTCAGCTTATTAATCCTTGTGTTAAAACCTTGCAGGCTCCCCGCTTAGTTAACTTTCAGCAAGCATAAAAGTGTAAAAAAATTAAATTTTTGAATTCTCACTTCCGTTACTATTCTTAAAATCATAATTATTGACTATTATTATTTATTTCAACCCAAATTGTAAGACTTAAATCTATACATGCACATTTTGGCATACAATTCATGCATACTAACACACAACACAAAAATTCAGGTACAAAAATATAGGCAGTACCCTATCTGTAGGATTCAGGTGGATTTTTCAAATTGGCAACCATTTTTATGATTTTCAAACACTTATAACTCTTTTACCATATAGGGGTTTAATTGTGTTAGTATAAAATTTCGCAAATTTGTCAAGATTTGCCATTTGTTGGTATAAATTTTCGCGAATCTTACCTTCTGCAGCCATTTTTCCTAGTGTGCCACACCTCTTTTGTGGAATTTAATGAAATTTAATGACAATGCGAAATTCGCAACATTTATTTCCAGTGAAATATAACCCCTACACGGTATCTTACGTTGCACAGCCTTAAAAATAGCTTAAATGAGCTCTCCTTCATTGAGCGATTTTCTTGGTACCTTTAAAGTGGGCTGTAATGTAGCAGGAGCATTTCTGGAGAATAGGCTTAAATTCAAATTTCTGCAAAATTCTTCGACTTCTTTTCTTCTTTCATTTTCTTCTATCTCCCCTCTAATCTAAATCAGAGAAGTGCTGGCTTTTACATTACTCCTCTGGGCTTGGATCAAGGACCTTAAAGGTAATTTCAAAAAGAAGTTAGGACAAAATACAAAATGAAAGACACAATCCAGCTGCAGACACAAGTGGATTTGTGGTTTGACGCCATTTTACTTTATGCGCACGTTATCTGCATGAATATAATTAACTTAACCACAGAATCATAACAAAATATAATTTATAAATTTAAGAAAATAGAATGGGAACAAGTAAATAAAAAACATTAAAAATGAAAAAGTAGTAGGAAGTGATAACAGCTAGTTCAGAATGCAGAATAGTAAAATATACCATTTGAATCTTAAAGGTGTTGCTTTTCTCAATTCGCATTATAAATTAATTAAGGTATATCGCTTTCTTTTTGCTCTGGCCCCTTCACAGATTTGTAGTACAAACATTATGTCACATTCCATGCACCATTTAGGGTGTGGCTCATTTTAATTACTAACATAGCAACAAAACCCATTTATTAACTATAATTATGTTTATATATAATCATCAATTTCATCATAGGAACAATCTTGTGTTATCACTTGATCCAATTCTTCATAATCTACTTCATTACACTCATTCCTGATATTGATGGCATATGCTGGATTATCTTGTATTGTCACTGCAACAGGATTAGTAGC